GAGATGAGGAAATTGGGCACCGCAGACCAAGTAAACTCAGACTGACCCCAGGATGATGCAGCTGCCTGTCAAGTCTGTACAACATGACTGGTTAACAAACACACAAAAACATTACCGCCACACTGAGCAGACACCTTTTTGACAAGTGAACCACAGGCCTTATTTAGGAACGTCAAAGTTTCTGCTGAGAAGAATTTCTCTTAAGATAAACAACTCGTTATATCTCATATATTTCAGATATTAAATCCAGACTGTCAGTGTTATTAAAGCATGGCATCATGGCTACCAGAAGGATTACAAAGAGATCATCTTACAAGGCTGAGATGAACTCAATCTTCTACACGCAGGATTATCAAAGAGTCCGTACATTAACCTAGTGCCTATGTAAACAAACGCTACAGAGACGGATAAAAAGAGTTAATGCTTGCTTACATTTATATGCAGCTGGGCCAGCACGGACTCAAAGGACAAACATTACATACGCAATCACAGTGCAGGTCAGTTCAAATATCACAGAGGAAACAGCTGTTGTACCAACACGATTCTACTAGGTCTCAGTTTATCCTGGATTTTACTTCTGAACAGATTTCTCTGGAGAGAAACATTGACAGTGTAGCTTTAATAGTATTCAAATAATATTTAACAGACTTTTCGTTTAATTGTGGTTTTAGTGGCCCTCTTCTATGAAATGAGTCACATCAGAGCCCTTTGACGGTAAAAGGAAGTAGAAATCCTGAGGGGGAAGTATTCTCATGACACCTAACACTGATACTTGACATGAACACGGAGGATTCTCCAACGGGGGACAAAACCAGAAGGCCAGTAAACCAAAAAAACTACTTTAGTTCATGCTCTGGTGATTTCCAACAAAAGCCACAATAATCATTCATTTGTTAGATATTATGATTTAGTGTCTCAATTTGGTGTCTTTATTGGTTATTTCAGCATCCTGTCGATTTCCAAACACAACACAGCCTGTGTTTAAATGGTTGGTTTATTTAATGCAGTTTTTTTATTGAAATTAATGAAACAGAACCATGCATGACTAATCAGTGAAGGTTTATTGCATGTTACTGCATTATGCATCTTTTAAAGAACTGATACTCACAATTATTGTCCTTTACTAAAATAGTTTGGAGATTGTGCTTCTTTGCTTTCTAGTTAGACGAGAAGAACCACTTACTGTAAAGCTTCAGACAGCAGATTGGCGTAGCATGGCTCTGTTTAAAGGCAATAAAATCCACCTACCAGCACCTCTAAAGCTCACTTGTTAGCATGTTAGATCTCTTTTGTTTAATCTTTACAAAAAACTGAAGTGTACAAACAAGTTTTACTAACAACAAAGTCGCCGTTTCCCCTCGACTCTTTGTGCTACGTTATGCTAAGCAGTCACACTATACAGACAAAAGAATGGTTTTGTTCTTCTCATCTATTTCTCTGCAAGAAAGTGAATAAACTTGTATAAACTTGTCCAAAACTGTCAAATTATACCATGATTTTGAAATGTCAAAAACAAATGACGCATTGACATGTATTACTTTGCATCAGATATTAATTTAATGCTTCAACCTAAAGTACAAAACCTATAATTAACTTTTGCTTTCCATCTAAACTGTGCATATACATTTTATATTTATAAGTACTTTCTTTTTATTTTCCTAATGCACATTCCTTTTTCTTGTTTGCACATTCCTTTTCTTTTCTTGTTCTCTCAGTCTTATCTTGTTTACTTGTTGCCTTACAGAAGAACATTGTACATGCACATTGAGAGCCACGATCGGAGCCAAATTCCTCGTGTGGCCAGTAAAGCTGATTCTGAGTCTATGAATGAACAGAACCAGCTGGAATGTCCAATCAGTGTTTCTTTGTTTGAGGCCTCAGCTGTCCGTTTCCCAGTCGCTGCTTTGAAACGTCACCTTGTCACAGCAGAGGGGTGTTTGCTCCACAAGCTGAAACCGGGTTTTGTAATTGAAAGTGCTCTGGTGCTAATAAGGCAGCAGCTTGCGTGCGTATCGCTGAACATTTTCACCTGCTCTGAGTGAGACTTTTTAATTGAAACCAGGGAGGGTATGAAAAAAAAACCATGGCTCGTGCAACATCAGCAAGGTGGAACTGGTTTGTGCTTACAGAGAGGTAAGGCATGGGTGGCTTTATTAGACACACCTGCCTCCCCACCCCACCCCTCACCACCACACACATTCACAACCAGCATTCCTGTCACTTTTAATCGCTAGAAACAAAATCTTGCACCTGCTTCCTCCTTCTTTCCATACTTTACTTGCAGAGCTAATGAGGCTGTAGACAACACACCCTACTGACACACTGCAAAACCTTCCTCGCTCCCTCCAACAGCATCCCTTCTTCTTGTCCTTTTTCCTCTACTGATCTCTATCGGCCTCCCTTCAGGCTCATTCCATCCTTTGTGGTTCTTCTTTGCATGTGGACATGACACAAATGAAATGTTCAGTTATTAATTGCTAACACACAGATGCACCAAGAGGAGGAAGAAAAGAAGATGCAAACACGAAAAAAGTAGGAGACAGGAGACTTGACAGCTTGACTGAACTAGGTCGCTTGTACTGAGAGCAATCATCAAATGCTAACCATCCACTAAACCCCCACCAGAAAACCTTTAACAATGGGCGAAAAGGTTACATGAGTGCCAGGGGGAGTAAACCTACGAGGAATGCGAGTATAGCATTAAGACGTTTGTAAGCTCAGGTCTCACACTGACAAAATAAAGTTATATTCAAGAATGCAATGCTTCTTTTGAAAATGTGAAGTATCAAATAATAAATATTTAACATAGTTTGTCACATATTACATCATATTCACACTCACATTTGAGAGGCTGCATGTTTAGCATTGTTAAGAAACGATTGGTTAATCAACTAATTATCCCTTCTCTATCTGTAAATGTCTCTTTGGCTAAAACAGTAATATATGTGTAGTTTTTCATCTCCATCAAATGTGCAAGCCCAGTCTGTGGCACTGGAAGGAGTTACCACGCCAGTACTTTTCTGTATTTAATAAAGTCCGAAAGAAAGAAAGAAGAGAAAGAACAAAAGAAAGAAAGAAAGAAGAGAAAAAAGAAAAAAGGAAGAAAGAAAACCTGGTTGACTTTGCAGTTACTATTATTGTTCTGCACATTCAGCCAGTCTGTGGGACTCCAAACAATGAGAAGGTAAAGCCAATGACAACAAAGCACAAGATTTAAAATACACAGGATTTAGACCGACAGGGTGGTCTGATGACAAGAGTTTCAGAGCAAACGAGGTGCGTCTCCTGAGACACACAATGACCAATGTAAACAAGCTAAACTAAAAATATGACCATTTTAAATTATGATGTTTTCACAATGAAACCCTCGAGAGACACTCAATGCCACAATAGCATGGGTAACAATACTAAATGACGCATTCATTCCATGTTTTCGGTTGTCAAACCACAGTGAGCAGGCGGGAGACGTTCACTCTACTTCTAAATGTCTAGGATCTACACACTTTGAATAAAGTTTTAGATTTCTAGACCTGCATACTTGGGATTTTGCACAGAACTAAAGTACTATGTTAGGGAAGTTGTCTGAAACTTCCTTCTTCTCAGACAAAAATATTATTTATTTCCTTGTGCCATTTTTAACTTAATAAGCAGCTCCACCGGATATTTATGAAATGACTAATGTCTCCGTGACTAGTCCACACATATGGTACAGTCTGTACTGGGATGAACAATTATATAAACTGACTGGTCACTGGGATTGCAGTGGCAAACAAGGAAATACCATTAAACCAAGTCAAATATTTATTTATACAAAATGTGTTGCCACATCTGATGTTCCTAAGATACGTGTTTGTCAAACAGGATTTCAGCACGCCAGTCACACAGGGTGGCAAAAATCGGAGGTGTGACAAAATCTCGTGCCACAACATCTCATGATAATGTGACCATGCTTCTTGTTGAAGTGAAAAGCTGTCTTGCAATATCAGTACCTAACGTGTAGGTGTGTACAATACGGCCATGTTGTGATGAGTCGACCTGAGTGGCTTCATTCCCGTTTCTAGCCCGTGGGTTTCCATTGTGTTGTGGTTATCCATGCTGCTAACGTAGCCTACTCTACCTTACCACCAATTCCACTACAGTGGTCGACACTGATAGATATAAAAAAAAAACGCAGTGTAACATCCAGTACTAGTGAAAACACATCGTGTGTCGTTATCATGGGTTAATTGTGGCCCAAATTCAACAGTGAATAGCAGTGAATGCTCATGCTAACAACGTAAATAAAAAAATTCTTCTTCCCATGAGCGTCCACTTCCCCCATTGTCCCCTATACGTGATTGGTCAACGCAGCAGCTTTGCCGGATGATGTCACCATCCAGTGAGGTGCTGTCAGGGTGAAAACAGCATCACAAACAGCTTCAGTTAGAATTCAGAAGCTCGTGCACAGTTATAAGGTCTGAAGAGACTCATGTGAAATCCTACAGGAGAGAAGCCAGTCAGTCGGGTTTGTGGCAAAACCTTTTACGGTGCTTACATATTGTTCTGTCTTTTACCGCATATGATCATTTCTACTCAGAAAGTAGAGCTGAAGTGACATTCATTACAAGAGGATCAGTTAAAACATTTCAAAATGCACCTGTATTTTCTGACTTTTGGTCAAATAAAAGACTATTTTGCAGTCATACGTTTCGTCAAAGATTTCCTAAAAATAATAATATTATCTTGTCTCGTTCTCGTGAACCCTATATCGTGTATCATCTTGTGAGCTAAGCGTATCATCACACCCCTAGTGTATAAGATAGTTTATTCTACCATGACAACACTTCATCAAAGAAGAAAGAACCGTATTCAGTTTCAATTGTCAATCGGTTGCAATCAATTGGTGAATAACTGGCAGAAAATAGAGAAAAGTGTCCATCACAGCCTAAGGTGACATCTCCAAGTGTTGATTTTTTACTCTTATGTTCATTTTCATTGTTGAAGTTTACAGAACTGGTACAGGTTTTGCATTCAAACAGCTAACATGGAAGAGGTGAAAGCCCGACCAGAAGATATTAACCCTCCATCTCAGGAGGGCTTTAGCACTGTAATCTCTGGAAGGTAGGCTAAACCCTGAGAGTCTCAGCCTCTCACCATATGGGATGTTTTCATGAGAAACAGAGTGCGACTCTGAGTGTGTGTGTGCAGGAAAAGAACTACTTCAAAAACTCCCATCCTCCCATCATTACTCCAGGACTGTCCACCGCCAGAGATCTGAGTGGCGTTGTGAGCGTGTGCTTCGTTAACTAGGCCATTTGAATGTATTTCTGTGTTTTTATCCAACATTATGGGTGTCCATAGAAAAAGAAAAACCACAGAAATGTTGCCAGATTTCATTTTTCTGGATTTTGCCTTCTCTTTAACCAAGGGAAGAAAGCCCAGAAGAAAGATGGCTGCCAAACAGTGTAATTTGGTTCCAACTTATATGAAACAAGGGCAGTGATATCTTCAGCTTAGCTAGAAATGTTCTTTTTTCATGTCTTTAAAATGGCCTTACAGGTGAGCTAACCTTCTGAGCTTATTTGAGAGTTAGAAAATATAATCTACGGCTGAAATGACAGAAAACAAGTCAGTGGTTTCAGCTTCCCAGCTATGAGGATCTGCTGCTTTCCCATTTCATATGTGATAGTGAACTGGATGCGTTTGGGTTGTGGACAGTGGGTTGGACCAAAAAGTAAGTTGGACACAACACATGAGATTTAGAAAACTGGGATGGCATGTTTTTCTTCACCCGATTTTCTGACATTTTACAGAGAAAATAGAAAATGGAAAAAAAAATATATATATATCAGCAGTCCTAATAACACCATCCTTGCAGTTATCATTACAATTTATTTTCCTAAAGCATCTTGTGTGGCCCCAACATTAGTTTCTTATGCATACATTTCTTTTTAAACTTCACAGCATTTGAGTACGTCAATGACGCCCAGTGTTACATGATTATTTTATGTTACAGGTTTTTCAAACAAACTTCTAGAAAGTATTTCCAGTATATTGTATATTTGTTGCAATATACAATCACACATACTCCAATAGAAATGTTGAGCCAGTTGCCCACCCCAGGTAACAGCCTCCATCATTCCTGTGTATCCCACTTTTCACCTGCACACAGGCGTCAGATCCTGTAGCCGAGCTGTGACATGAAACACTCCCTATGAATGCAAATGTATATTTACATTTAAAAGGTTTCAGGTTTGTAAATGACCTACATCCCTCTGACATTTATCCCTGCTGAATGCTGAAGCAAAATGGCGTCTCCAGAGAGCAGCTCTTACTCTTTGGTTGAAAGAGACCCAAAACAAAACTGACATTTATCACAGATTGTCAGCCTGCTGCTTTTAACAACAGTCATTATAGTCTTGCTAAAAATATCTTTCAATTGAAGGTGTTTGTTTAGAAGCATCTTTACAGTTGTCTGAGAAAATCCTCGGTGTAAAAACTATACATCTCTTTTTTACAACGTACGTAATTGAGATACTATCACATTAAATTCCCTCATTGACTTTTAAAGCCTTCATTCTGCAGCAAATTATTGCTGGTGTTATAAATAGACAAGGAAATGAAAACAGGCAGTTAAAAGCTTGTATTTTCACAAGAGAAGGCTGATTGTGATCCTGCAAACTCAATCTGGTTGGCTGCAGTTTAACACCCAGCTCTTATCAGGAAGGGCCCCAGCAGATGTTTATAGGTTAATACATGTGAGCATGCAAACGCTTGGATAAAGACACAGAGACGCTCAAACAAACAGTTGAATCAAGACACAATTAGAAAAATATATTGAAGCATACACACTTGTGTAAATTAAATGGACCGTTAAAACAAAAACAAAATAAGCTGCTGTGTCTCTGTGTTTTCGCCCGGGGCTAAACTAAGCACCCACACTAATGCAGCTAAACTGTAGTTTGTCCATCAAAGTGGTTCTACACAGACCAGGAAAGTTGACTTCTTTGTCACAGTTGGTAGGACAAACCACCTAACTGAATGTCTATTTAGACCTATGCTGAGTTTTGTTAAACAGCTAAAGTCAGGATTTTCTTGCTCTCAGTTACACATTCCAGTTTCTGTTCTCGGTGTAAAACAGCAATTTGATCACAGATCATAACCTGTCAAGCAGGCCAACAGTAATCTCTGCGCTACTGCACTCAGACTTCAATCAACTCACTTTTTATGAGGCAGACATTGCTGCAGTATAATGACAACACTATTCTGTAATTGGCCATGTCTACAGTGGGAGCGATGATGATTACAGAGCAGATTAGAGGTGACACAAAGTTGGTTTCTTAACTTTCCCAACACGCACTACATATCTGTGCCTGGGGAAGTTTACATCACAATTTGCCAAAAGCTCTATTTTGACCATCCACACAAAAGCTGAAGACCAGCATTTTCAGCTTTTGTTACTCTAAAAAGTGTTTTAGTAAAGATTAAGTTTATTGTGGATCGAGGCCAAAACAGAGATGTCATTTTATAAGATTCGAACAGACTTCCTTGGTTTTCATATTTCTGATGAGAACTGTGCTAAAAAATCTAAAACAAATCTCTTTATCGAGGGCTGCCCCCCCCCATGTAAATCAGTGAATTATAGGCTGATGACCTGGTTTAAGGTTAGGGGAACAGTTTGGTTTAGACAAGCAGTGGATATGGTTAAAGTTAGGGTACGTCTCAAAGACAATGAAAGAAAGTCAATGTGAAATCTCCACGAGGGGTGAAAATAAACGTGCGTGGTAGCGGCTCATGATGTAGAGCGGGTCGTCTCCTAACCAGAAGATTAGTGGTTCGATTCCCAACTTGTCCAATCCACATGTGTCCTTCAAAGTGTCCTTGAGTAAGACACTGAACTCCTGGTGATGTGGGAGTGCGAATGGGTGAATGGCCAAATAGTGTGAAAGCACTTTGAGTTGCAATGCATAGAAAAGTTTAAGACCATTAGTGGGGACCTAAGGGAATCTTGCTGAAACCAGAATCTATGCGACCACCGCTTAATCTACATTCCTATTCTAATAATGCTCCCACACCACAGGCTTCGAATGAGGTGTAGAGTCTTTCACATCATCACGTACAGTATATAGAGGGGGGGCCAGAGAAGGAACAATTCACCTTCTGTAGCCTCTTGAGACATCGACAGAGCTAATTAACTGTCTTAATTCTCACAATGGGTGTTTGGAAGATGTAAATGTGTGACAGCAGTCAAACACTAGAAGCATTTTCTGCTTACTGCAGGTGTGGAAGCCTTTCAGACTGGATTCAAACATAGTCATACTCATGTCAGTACACCTTTCTGGTCGCAGTAACCCTCTACAACACACAAAGGGGGAACCATATCATTCCCACCTTTGAGCAGCCTGCTTTCTCCCCACTGAAGGAAACACTTTTAGGCGCCAGTACAGTTTTTCTCTGTAGATCCAGTACACGGTCACTTACTGAATCAAGCCGAAGTTAAATTCCCCTCTAGGTTCTTTTTCTTCAGCAGCAAGTAGAGTGGTTTCATAAGACACTGTAACACACACCGCACACGCCTTCATAAAGGCAACGTAGGACTGACTCTGTGCTTTATAGACATCTGTTTTCATTTACGTCACCCAGGTCGCTCTGCTGCGTGGAGCTGGCACACCTCAGCTCATCCTTAACTCTGACGAACAGCCACGACCAGAGTGTGTTTCAATCAAACACAACTAAGATACTGTCGTGTTGTCTGTTTGTAGAGATGTAGGTGTTTGGCCAAACTGGCACTGCAGACATGGCAATACTTACTAGTACAGCACTTCGTTGGCCTCGTGTCTCTCATAACGCACCGTCTCACACATTATCCTGCAGGAACAGAGAAGGAGGGAAGAACGTCAGAATAATAACTTTTCTTCAATAACAATGTTACAGTGTTACAGAGGGAAGAGTAAAAGGAACAGATCAAATCTTAATGCTAAATTTGATAAAACGTCTTTTTACAAGGTTTCCCCGCACTCAGTTCTTTTTCCGGGGCAGATAAGGGGTCACACATTTTTCAAATGCTGGTTCTCAGATTTTTCAAACCTTTTTCTGTGTGAAAAAGTCATCAACACGAAGGTTTCCTAAGACACCTTGAGAAAGGACGAGGGTACCTGAACATTACAGGCAGACAACTATAGTGAACAGTAGCTGATTAAAAAAACAAAAGGCTTCAAAAACAGCTGGGGCCGCTGTCATGTTGTTGCCTCATTGTTCCAAGGTTGAAATACAATCCTGACCTGGAAAAAAAAGCCATCGCTGTGAAAATGAAACGCTGAGGAAAAGCAGCACATTCCTGCCAGATGAAAAAGTGAAGAAAAACAAAACTCTAATATCATCCCATCGATAGTGGGATGTCTGAATGGCTGGGAGTTTTTCTTTAATTATGAAAAGTTGGCAGAAGTGGCTGCTTGGTGTGAGGGACCACAGGGACACTCCTCGGGATCCAAACAGGGAGGAGGGAGAGGGGTTACTGTGGGGTGGGAGGCCTCTGACGGGTCACAGAGAGGAATGTTCCAGCCTACGGGTCATGCACTGCTACACTGCTCCCTCGCCGGTATAATCCACATGTATGCACATGAGGCATGCTGGGAACAGACTTCTGAAAATCTACACCAGATAGAAGAGAATGAAAACTAATGTGGTGACAGGAGAGTAAAAGACAAACTCATGTGTGGGCAGCAGAAGTGAATGTTCAGTTTTGGTTGGGATGTTTGGACAGGCTTGGAGATTTTATGTTCTCTCTCTCACTCACACACACACACACACACACACACACACACACACACACACAACTTTTCAGTCTCAATCAGCTTCAATAAAGAAAACTGACCCATGTCAACCCTGTCAATTTGCTTCTGTCTGGTGTCAGAAATGAACACCGATTCAGCAGAAACAGGGAAATTAGAACTGCACCTAATGACTATCTAAGATTATCGAATAATCTCTTTTAATATTTTTTCAATTTGATAAAATGTAAGAATATTGCAGGAAAATGTCCTTCACAGTTTCTTGAAGTTCAGAGCCCACTGGTCTTTATATGAGCCCAGTCAACACAATGAGGGTGTCAGCACACAGAGAAAACCGGCAAAGACACAAAGGAAAAAAAATCCCAATCAGATAAACACAGCAGCCAATCCGGGTAGATTACTTTGCAACTTGAAGGCCATATTTCTGCTGTTTACCTTACAATCTGTGCGACGAAAGATAAAATGATTATCAATGTGATAACATCCCAGAATCCTGTCTCAAAGTAATATAAACTGCTGATCCTACATTGTTTGAAGCATATAAAGGCACTTTGAACAGCCTTTATGTATGTAATGTGCAATACAAATAAAGCTGCCTTGCCGCCTTATCAGTCACAAATTCCAGACATGCACTTCTATAACATTACTGGACTCACAATGGATGGTTTCAAAATAAAAAGATCAAAATCAAATGAACAGAACCAAAGATTCCATGCATTCTTTTTTCTTGTCAAAACCTAGACACAACCCACAATGCAATTTAAATGCTGACAGTTCAGTTGACAATTCATGTGTGTTACATTAGCTAATGTAGCTTGAGCCTCTATTCTCAAGCAGAAATGAGAAGCAGGCTCACTTCTTTCTAATTCCACATACCCAGACTAAAAAGAAAAAAAAAATGTTATTAACATTTTCAGACAGTTTTTGAGGCAGTTGATCACATTTTGTGCAGCTCTCTCTGGAGCCACAGTACGTCCCTACCTGAACAAAAACAACACACACACAACCTACACTACCAGCTTTATTTGAACAGCAAAAAAAGTATGAAGCAAACTCAAATGAAGCTGAACAGGGCTGTAGCATTGTACATATGCATGGATCAGGTTCCTGTGTATGCTGTTGAGAAACCTGGCTTCAAACAACTTCTTGAACATTTGAACAACAGGTATGCCCTTCCTTCACGGAACTTTTTCATGCACACTGAAATCACAGCCCTATATAACGAAACGAAATAAAAAGTCATGAACCATCTTGGAAGGAAACCCTTTTTTTCATGCACCACTGATCTGTGGACAAGCAGGGCCGCTTCCACGTTCATGGCAGTAACACTGCAATTTATCACTGAAACCTGGAACATGCAGAGCTGGTGTTTGGGCTGTACTGGGCTCAACTCTGAGCACACAGCAGAATGCTTAAGGGAAGCATTGGAAGAGATGATACAAGATGCATGGAAGCTGGACATGTCATACATGGCTGGTATCACCACTGATAATGCTTCAGCAAACAAAAAAGCATTTCAGCAAGACTTCACATGGGTCCCCTGCTTTGGGCATAACTTGC